GTTTTGCTTTGTTTCACAGAACTAATCGTTGCCTGGGTTGCGTACGTATGTGTGGGGAGGAGCTATCAAAATAGGGGCGAGACCCTTTTGGGGTTAGGGGCGTGTTTGTTTTGGTGATTTCAAATGTCAACATTGACTACCAGAAATCGCTTACCCCACCTTTAAAGCAAATTTGTTCAAATTAAACACTGTTGGCTTTTATTTAAATTGATAATGAGTAAAATGTTTCAAACAGGTTTTTGTCATGCATGGGCCATTTTTTTAATAAATGAATGATATAGATATTTCTAAATATTTTAAAGTGGCAGATATATTATTATATATTATAAGTTTGGGGTCAGTAAGATTTATTTTAAATGCATTAAATTGATCAAAAGTGACAATAAAAAGACAATTTCTGATTACGATTTCTTTTTCAAGAAAAAGCTGAACTTTCTGTTCATCAAACTGATTAATTTTTTAAAAATAATTTTCCACAAAAACATTAAGCAGCACAGCTGTTTCATCATTAACAATAATAAATAATGTTTTGCTTGTGCATCAAATCAACATATTAGAATGATTTCTGAAGGATCATGTGACACTGAACACAGGAGTAATGGCTGCTGAAAATTCAGCTTTGCAATCACATTTTAAAATATATTAAAATAGAAAATAGTTATTTAAAATGTTAATAATATTTCACAATATTACTATTTTTACCATATTTCAGGTCAAATAAATGTAGCCTCTGTGAAAATAAGAGACTTATAAGAGACTTAGAAAAAAATATGCAGTATTATATTATATTATATTATATGAAAATTCATAACTGTTTTATTATGCAACATACTCTGGTGATGATATGATAGCCAGCAACGAGGACAGCAACAATTACCACAGCAACAACAGCTGCATTGATTTTGCCGACGACAATAGCGCTAAAGCATTAATGAAGTAGTGAAGTAGTACCAGGTGTAATTGATGGGACACATTCTCTGATAGCAAGTCATGAATTACATCACAGTGCTAAGATCAGAGTTCAAATGGCTAATTTAGCTTTTAATTGAAATCAGTGGTGTGTAGTCTACCCTGACAGCATTGAGCGCTCAGGGGCCCACAGGGCTGCCATTGAGTTTCCACACTTTATATCCTTAATCAGTTAAAGACGTTTCCCAGAATAGAATACTGAAACTCTTTTATGAACCACATTTTGGTTTTATATTGTTTTTAAACCTTCCGGGCCACTTCCCACTGATAAGCATAAAAATGTGGAAATTGCATGGTATAAATCAAACATCAAGTTTTTTGTATATGGTGATCAAGTTTAACTGCATGCATGCTTTTATTGCAGTACAAGACAAAAAAAAAATATGATTGCAGAATGTGCATGTGCATGTGCCTGTATGTATTGCTTTGGAGAAATGGTATAAATTTAGTGTGGATTAGAGATTGAGGGAGCGATATCGGAAAAGAATAGAAGTCTATAGCTGCCTCTCGTCTCTATCATTCAGTACCTGTCAGCCTGCGTTAGCGGTCGAAGCCTTCCAAGAAGGGCTCGCGTGAAACTGTCAGTGCATCCTCTCCACCTCCGTGTTCTGTCTCTCCTCCTCCTTCTTCCTCCATGTCCGTCCCTCCCACCCTCATCTCTCCCTCTCCCTCTCCCTCTCTATCTCTGATGTGTTCTTACAGTGTAAGGCGCAGCCAGTGAGTGAAAGCCCAAGCACCCTCCCCAACACACACACACTCCCCCACCGCTTGTGTGAACGTAAACACACATACACACACCACAGACGCGTGTGGTTGACCGCAACGGGCTCTCGGCTATGTGTGAAGACACGCGCGGCACGCCAAAGAAGCAGCACTACTGAATCTGACGCTCGCTTTGTAGCAGGACCGCCAACCAGATCGCATCGAAAACCATCCTACTTTCTCTCTCTCTCTTTTTCCCACCCTCTCTTTTCAGTTGTACTTGTGTGAACAGAGCTGGAGTAAAGGAAATACCCCCCTCCCCCCATCCCTCTCTCTCTCTCTTTCTGTCTGCCCTGTGGTGGGATAAACAGTGAAAAGATGAGCCTGTGATACAGCACCAGACCTGAGTGACCTGACAGCTCAAACTGTGAGTACACGAGTCTCTTACTTTTACTTCCACACCGGCACACACTCACGCCTACATACAAACAGCATACAAACTCTTTAATTGTTGTATCAGAATAAAGACAGGTGGATTGTCAGCTGCTGCTTTTTAACCTTTGGTAAAACTCTTTATTCTCTGTGATTTGCACTGAATGATTGGTTTCATTTTGATGAAACAAATATCCTCCGGCAATCGTGGCGCTTAACGCGTCCAGAACTGCAAGTGGAGATTTGCGTTTTCTCACATGCGTTATTCAGAAGTACACCTCGCCCTTCATTTATTCCTTAAACGGGGCACTTATCTGTCACGATGTACCTCAGATTCTTGCAATTATATATTAGAAGACGAAAAGACATCATCATCATCATCTTCTTCTTAAAGAGTGTCAACCAAATTTCTTTATTCTTAATTTTAATTCAAAAGGACAGTGTGAAATGGTGCTATTGTTTACTTTGAATAGTTCAGATTCTTTTTTTTGTACCTTTTGAAAAGTATGTCTTAAGGATTCTTTAAGGATTAAGGATTCTTTGTCACACATTTGTGTGGATTTCACAGCTAAATAAAGAAAGAAATGTAAAATAATAATAATATATTGTGTTTTATCATATAATTCCTTTTGTGTAACCGTGTATTCCTCTTTGTTTTATCATTTGGGTGTGCAGTGACACATACTAGCCTTTACTGTCTGTTGCAGTGTAGAATTTTTGTTTTGTTTTGTGTGCTGTTGAGTGCTGGATGAGAAGAAAGTGTGAGGTTTGCCTCCTCTTCGGATGACCGGCCAGAGAGTGAGAGAGAAAGAGATACAGACAGTGAGACAGAGAACAGCGTGTCACATTCGACGGTTTGCTCAAGCAGTGTAGCATAGCTGACAACTAAAGCGAGAACACAGTGTTACCCTTAGCCTGTGAACAGCCTGGAAACAAAGTGAAGCCGTTCAAATGGCTTTCAGAAGTTTTTGTTGTTGTTGTTGTAAGAGTACATATGAGCTTAATTTAACTTTTGAATTGTTATTATTTTTTTTATTTTTTTTTCATTGAAAATGGTGAATGGTGGGCATAAGTTAACCTATATATATATAATGTTTATAGTGTATATATACCATATGATATGTTGACATTATTTATGACATTATTTTATTCCCAAAAATTCTTTAGACAATTTATTTTGTTCTCATTTATTTGTAAATTTCCTTTGATCTTTTAAAAATATAAAATGGAATGCAGAACTGTAAGTGTATACGTAGCTACATAAGCCATCAAAGGATAGACTGAAGAATAGTTTCTTCTTGGCAGTTTGCAATACTGAGTTGTTTTGGTAATAGCTAGTTGCTTTTCATTTCTCCACTACACATCTGAACTTTGCACCTGAATAGTGTATATTTATGTAGTCTCTATATTCCTACCCATAATTTCATAGTCTACACAGAGTTGTACTTTAATATACTTTTTACAGGCACACATTCTAATCTTATTTAGTGTTGATTGCCTGTTGTGTAGTATATTTATTCTTTACATTTCTATTTCATGCGGTTTTTGCACTGCCTGGATATTTGCTGTGATGTCTACTGTCTAACATGTAGGAGATCAAAGCCACCAAGAAATCCATTTTACTTTACTTTACTTTGCGTGCCAGTAGATTTTTACTTGCCCTTTCAACATTTACAGCAATATATAGGAAAAGTAGATCATAGAAATTATTATAAAAAAAAAAATATATATATATATATTTATTTTTTTATTTTTTATTTTTTTCTAATAAGTGTTTTTTTATTTGCAGTAATAGCTGCAATAAACATTTTTGCAATATATAATAATATATTAAGGTTTTATTGAGCATGTTCTTTCCACAAATAAATTAATTAAACAGTTTTTTAGAAAATAAATATATTTGTAATTGCAATAATAGCTGCAGTAAAAATGTTTTTATCAGAATAATTTTTATATCAGAATAATATATTTAGATTTTATTTAACATTTTCTTTCTAAAAAATAAATTGAATAAATAAACCTTTTTATTTGCTGAAATTGCTGCATTAACCATTTTTGCTGGAAAAGTGTGGCATAGTGCAATGCCTTGCTGTTTTGTTTAATTTTTTACTGAAGTCCTAGTTATTAGCAAGTCAGCTGGATTGTTACCTTCAAGTACATGATTAACAAATTATTGGAAAATAAGAGAGTAAATACTGGCCCAATAGGATGGGGCTGAGTTCTCTTAACTGTCCCGAAACACTCTTGCCAGCGGCCCATTCTTATTTTTATGTCCTGATATTGCAATAAAGTACTTTACTACTACTGCACAACTACTATGACATTCAAATAGAAACTAACATATTCTGGCAGTTAATCGAGCTCTCCACCTTTTTTCTCTCCTTTTCTCACTCTCCGGTGTGTCTGCGGTTGTGTGATTTCACCATTAGGCTTGACTACTGTGCCGTTTCTCGATATGATGACAATTTCCTGCTGAGGCGCATGTCAAATGAAAAATGGTATGAGATGTGTGAACCACATGGTCAGAAAGGTTCACAGCTTGTGAATGCAGATTTAATTCATCCAAATGTTAGCAAAGAGCGTAGCACTAACATGAAATGAGCTTTTTACCAAGCTTCTTGATTTCAACGTAAAATTGGCATGTTACTTAACTCTATCCCAGCGTGAGACTCTGGGTTTTTTGTTGAAGGATTTTGTGTTGAATGCTCCTGTCAGAATGAGCTACATAGAAGTTAGCATCTGTGTAATAAATGCCTGTGATGGCTTTTAGGTGAACTCTTCTAAGTTCTATAAAAAGCCACCGCACAGCCGGAAAAAACAATCATCAATGTCAAAGTTTATATTGCAAGTATGAGGCTTCTCTGCCAATTCAAAAGCCAATAAAGTGATATGTGTAAAGGACATAAAGTAAGACTCTGTATCACTTTTCAGAGACCTATAACTTAATGTTTGCTCCTCGCTTTTCAAATTGTTCTTGCAGCCCTTCAGTGAGAAGCGCATAAGAAGTGCTTGACAGGTAAATAATTGATATGCATTCAATAGCGATATTATAGCAATAGTGTAGGGCCAACTAAAATAAATTATGAATAGTTTTATACTTACAAAGAATGTCATAATTGCTGCCAAATCAAGTCCATTTTATCACATTGGGGGACTAGACTGGCAGTTCTTATATATTTGGCAGTAAACCAGTTAAGTTACACAGAGAATATTTTAGTTGTCAGAAGAGTGACTCATAGTTACTAAAAATAAATTAATTATATAAAGGGATTTTAAAACCTATTATGGTATATAATATCAGCACTGTATAACCTTATATAAATGAGATTGCTGAAGGACAAACAGCCCTTCCTTTCGGCACAATACATAAATCACCCAAGTAGTGTGAAAATGCATACGGATTATCTATCATCATCGAATTCACATATTGACAAAGTGGAGCCGTAGCCATATTCGTTCATAATCTGAACCTAATGATGTTTTGGTTGAGCTGCGTTAGTCCAGGGTTAAAGGGAACCACCCTGACCTCACCTTGGACCCCTCGCTGTCACAGTCGCCCGACGAGTGACTGATGCAGGACTAAAGGACCTACTTGTTTATGTGTATCATAATATCACACTTTCCAACTCCATATATTTGAAAAAAAAAAAAAAAAAAGGGCAAATGTTTTATAGTAACAGACTGTAAATTTTGCTTTGCAATCTTGTTGAAGGTTCCATGACAGACATCCATTGGCTGTCTGCGTACAACAGACACTATGCTTACAGTCAGCCGAGCATTGCTTTATTTTATTTTAAATTTTTTTCCCTAAAACATAATTTAGATAGGATACAAGATTTATGTGTTTGAAGTTCAGAGTGATCGGTGGGTCCGGAAACAGTGACTCATCTTCTTGTCATAACTTGTCATGCTGCTCATATTTTTGGATGAAGCTACATTAAAGGCCTTCTGTTTGATCATCTGTCTGTTTAGAAAGCCACCGGAAGTGCTGTCACTCAAAGCATTCACACCATTGAGCACCTGTTACAAATATTTGTAAACATATTTTAATGGAAGTTGGACATTTTTGGAAATCCATTTATATTTTTATGTATTTATTAGCTGCAATGATGATGCAATGTAGCAAGAATTGGGGCTGTTTATGCTTTTAAATTTTAAATATTTATACACATAATACTTTTATTCTGCAAGCATGCACTGATCACATATGACATTATATATATGCTGTTTTTTTAATGATTCATCAAAGAATCCTGAAACAAAAATATCAAAGTTTCCATAAAAAATATTAAGCAGCACAGCTGTTTTCAACATTGATAATAATAATAAATTTCTTGTGCACCAAATCAGTATTAGAATGATTTCTGAAGGATCGTGTGGAGGGAATGGCTGCTTTAAATTCAGCTCAGGAATAGATTACAGTTTAAAGTATATTAAATTAGAATATAGTTATTTTAAATTGTAATAATGTTTCAGAAAATATGTTTGACCAAATAAATGCAGCTTTGCCCAAATGAGTTCTTTTCAAATAATTTTTTTAATGAACTAGATTAACTCTGTAGGTTTAACAGACCAAATGGTTTGTTTACATTTAACATTTAAAAATCATTGTTTTCCCATCAAATTGTGAAAGTTTAAAGGGAGCCAGGCTCAAAGGAAAGCTTTAAAAATGCATCTAACAGCAGCAACAACCTTTGGCGATGTGTGTTGATGACAGCTCTAGTGTAATTCCTCAGTATTCATCTAGGCAATATTTTCATGTGCGACTGCCAAGACCATAGCAGTCGAATCCATGCCCTCCAAGGAACAGCTTTGAAAGTCAGACTCACAGTGATTGTGTGGTCCTAGACTGGATAATGCTAGTGCTATCTATGAGACTCCTAACTGAAAAAAAACCCTCACATTGCCGGTTGTGAAGTGAGGAATGGATCAAGTACAGTATACAAAATCATAAGGAAGGAAAACATCACAGAAACACCTGGTTAGGGGTCATAA